TCGACTACATTCACCCAAGGTGAGGGAACTGCGTCGACGTAGATGCTGGTGGATCTCCAAGATGCCATGTCCGCGTCCATGGAAACTATCCACTGAGAGGCAGAGAGTCCCAAGGTCGCCTCCGCGTAAGTGTGAGCGGTCAGGATGACAAAGTCGTCTTGGTCTCCCTCAGGGACTAGCAGCACTGAGCAGAGTTGAGGCGCGGCCTCGGACAACAAAGCGAGCTCCTACTACCGGTCCTCTTGGACGTCACTGCCAAGGGCAGGAGCACCTCTGACGGACGGAGGACGGACAGGGTCAGAGACCACAGTGGTGGCATTGTCAAGGTGACGGGTAGAGGCGAAGTCAGCGACGGCAGCGACAAGCGCGTCAAGGCTCGAGACAGGAACAGCCGGGTCGGTAACAAGGGAGGCCAAGACACGAGGAACAAGAGGACTAGGAGCACGAAGTGATGAGACAAAGGATGCGGAGCGACAACAAGCGACGACGAAAGAGGCGATCGGAGGAGGGGAGGACGAGATGGGTGGGAGCGAAGTAATATAGTGTGGGAGCGCTGAACAGAAGAGGCCAGACGAGCACGGGAGGGACGGCGAGACCATACGTGAGACGGGAGCGTCGGGTCAGGAGACAGGGGAGGAGACACATGAGCAGAACAAGGGGAGAAATGAGCCGGAGACGAGGTTGGCGGAGGAAAAACAGGGTCGTGAACAGGCAGGGGAGGTGGCGGTAGGAGAGGCGCAGGTGGGGAATTAGGGTAGGGAAGACCGAGGAGGCGAAGGGTGGACACTCGCGGCGACTATGGCTGCTACTGCTATTTCACGCCGACACCTGAACCTCCAGCTGCACAACGGCTACCTCCAGGACACTCCACTCCAACACCCGCAGAACGAGAAACCTCTCCAGCACCGGTGCCACCCCCGAGACCACCGAGACAAGCCACGCCAGTAACCCTAGGACTAGCACCCTCCCTAACGACCGCACCCCCAGAACTCGCGAACCCCGGCGGCTGCTGCGGCTGCGGTGGAGACGGCGGCGACGGCTGCTGCTGCTGCGGCGGCAGCGGCAGCGGAGGAGGGGACACTGGGGCAGAGGCAGGCGGTGAAACCAACGCCAGGAGTCAGCCGACTCTTCAACCGGGACAAGCGACGGGAGGGGAGTGACGTGCGACACACCAGATAGGGCAGGACAGGGAGGGGGAGGGGCAGGGGCTACTGGGGGAGTGGGAACAAAAAACAGGGGCGGTGATACCGGGAGACCTCGGTGGGGAAAGCGGTGGTAGAAGGAGACAGACTCGTCAAAAATGACGTCACACGAGTGCAAGAAGCGGTGAGAAGGCAGGTGGTAAAAGTGCCTGTCAGACGTGTCAAGCGGGAAACCAAGGAAGACAGAGGGAACAGTGCAAGCAGTGAGCTTGTCCGTGCCAGAGGCTCGAACGTGAGCAAGGCAGCCCCAAACGTGGAACGCAGACGCGTCACCAGAGAGCCCGGTCCAAAGAAGGGTCGGCAAAACATGTGGCCGCTGGGAGTGCGGCCAGAGGTTAAGCTGGTGAGCGGCGTAGCGAACAGCGAACGACCACAGAAAATGGGGTGCACTGGAATGGATCATGGAAGTACGAGCCACCTCCGTGACCAAACCGCTGCGTCGTTGAGCGAACCCATTCTGGTGTGGGGAGTCCGGCCGGGTGTACGACTGGGTGATGCCCTCCGCATGACAGAACTGGCCATGCCAACTAGAGGCAAACTCGCCGCCATGGTCGGAGTGGAGACGCAACACACGGAGACCGCGGTGGACTCGCACAGCTACGACCCACGGGATAAGAACGGCAGGCATGCTGGCCTTCCACTGCAGAGGAAACGCCGTGGTGTAGCGCGTGAAGTCGTTGACAAGCACTAGAAAGTAGCGCTCTCGACGCGGCCCAGGGACGGGGGCTTGGCCCCAGACGTCCAGGTGCAGGGTTTGGAATAGCGAGGTGGCGGGGCAAAGCGAGGAGGAGTGAGGAGCATGGCGCAGCCGGCCCTTGACGCATGGCGTGCACGGCGGCACAGGCAAGGAAGGGAGGGCAGGGAGCGACGTAGGGAGACCTAGGACAAGACCGTGCTGGGACATGTGACGTAGACGGGGGAGTGCGGGGTGACCTAGGCGGCGGTGCCACAGCAGCGACGGGTGAGTAAGCGACCGACACGGGTTCTGGGGGAACGTGGTCAGAGGGGCACCAGTGGGGGCCTCGGTACAGACCGCGTACCGCTCGTGTTCGGAGAACGTAGTGGTGACGCCGAGGTCCTGAAGACAGCCGACACCAACTAGGTTCCTATAGAGCGAGAGGATGTGCAGGCCTGTATGAGAGCTCGAGGGGACTGCCGGACAGGGAAGGGTAGTGGAGCTACGTGCCACTATTAGAACTGAGGAAGGTTTAGCAAGTGCAACAATGGCAGGGACAGCAAGCGGGGTGAGCGCAGTGTGGTCGTGAAACAAGCAGGCGGACGCTCCAGAGTCGAGCGTAAAGGAGAGCGACGCAGTAGCGTCAGCCGGCGAAGGGGCTAGCGTAGAGCCTAGGCAGAGGGTCCTATGCCTAACGCAGCAAGGGAGCTTAGACTGCACACAGTGGACACACCTACGCTAGGCAACACCGAGTAATAGGGTCCAATCACACTACAGTCATCAGCATACATGACAGACATAGCAGCCAGCGCGTACCAATCAGGAGGGTCCGACGTGAGACTGAAGCGGCGGTGGAAAGGATCGTCCAGGCGGCGGTAGCAGAGGTCAGCGGTGTGGCCGGGCCGGAAGCAGAAGGTGCCGCGGCGAGGGCCGGTCTGAAGCTGGTACTGGCAGATGATCGCACTGAAGCCTCCACTCGACACCGACCTACGGAGGCCACCACCACAACCACCGCCACCGGCGCCGCTGGTCCTCCACGGTGGCGGGGGTCCCCACGGCAACTGCTGCTGGGGTGCGGCGACTGTTGCTGTTGCTGCTGCTGCTGCGGAGTCTGCGGCTGCTACTGCTGAGGCTGCGTCTGCTGCTTCTACTTCTCCGGGGCACCAACCCCGGTCCCCTCGTCCGAAGCACTGTCCCCGCCCCCACCTCCTCCACCCTGCCCACCCCCATCCCCCTTCCCTCCTCGACGCCCCCCCTTGGGGTGGCGGCCTTTACTCGGACGCGACTTCGCTGAGGCGGCAGCGGCGGTCTCAGCAATAGTAGCAAAGGCGTCAGAGTAAGAGCACTGGGAGGGAGCGAAGCCCTCCAAAGATAGGGACCGGTGCAGTACCACTAGACTGAGCGATAGTGCGCTGGCGGGTCTCTATCGCGGAGAGGGCTGTGAGAAAGGCGGGAAGGGTGAGGTCACCCGGGTGCTGACTGAGGAAGTGGTCGAGGGCTGTGGCTAAGCAGTCGGGGAGGCGCGTGGCAAGGAGGTACAGGGTAGCGCACGGCGGCGGCGGAAAGTCAGTGAACTGAGCCTCAGTACTAGCAGCGCGATAGCTAGACTCAAGCGTGCGGAGGTGGGTGGCAAAGTCAGCGACAGTGGGGAAGGACGCAAGATCAGGGAACAGCATCGGTAGGATCAGGCAGCCAGCAGAGGCGCAGGCGGGCGTGGAGTAGCGTGCAACTACGGCCTCTAAGAATTCATGGGCGGTCACTACAGTGGTAAAGCGCGGAGGCTCAGACAGGGGAAGAGCGTGACTAATGGCAAGCTGCGCTACAGCGTCGCGCAAGTCCCAGACAGCACAAGCAAGCACAGCAGCGGAAAAGGCCTCACGCTCAGCAGTGGTGGGGGCAGCAGGGAGGGCAACAGGCGCAGCAGGGCGGGGAAGCAGGCCATCGACATGAACAGCCAGAGATGACCGTCTTGGCGCTGACCTGTAAGGTGACGTCGGAGGTCGACAAGCCACGCCTCGAAGTCTATCGCCTGACCCTCGGCTTCCAGGCGAAGCTGGGAGTCCGCCATCCCCACGGCTGCAGCAGCTGAATGCCGCTGACAGGAAGAGGAGGAAAGGCGAAGGAAAGCAGTGGAGAGCGGTGGAGGGCGGTGGAGTGCGGTGGAGAGCGGTGGAGAACGGTGGAGTGCAGTGGAGTGCGGTGGAGTGCGGTGGAGTGCGGTGGAGTGCAGGAGAGAGCGGTGGAGTGCGATGGAGTGCGATGGGGAGCAGTGGAGACAACCGGCACGTGCGCTGGCTCAGAAGGGAGCCAAGATCGGTGGGTCGGTGGCGGCAGAGCGACGCGGCAGCGCAACGACACGGCGGCTCGACGGCACCGTGGCGACTGGTCGGTGCTGGGCTGGGGCGAGCTGTGGCCAGCAGAGCAGGGGCCGGTGGCGCTGGGGGACCGGCGGAGCGCACAGGGCCAGCGATGGAAACGGGGCCAGCAAGGGCGCGCGGGGCCGGTGGTGCGTACGGTGCTAGCTGGGGCGCGACGGGGCCAGCGGGGCGCACGGGGCGAGCGCGGCGCATGGGGCCAGCGGGGTTCGACGGGGCCACCGAGGCGCTAATGGGCCAGTGGGACGCGAGCAGGCTAGCTGAGCTCGACAAGGCCAGCTTGGCGCGAACGGGGCAGCGGGGCCTGCGGGGCCAGCGGGGCGCACGGGGCTGGCGGGGTGCGACTGGGCCAGCACGGCTAGCGGGGCCTAGCGGGGCCAGCAGGGCTAGCAGGGCTAGCGGGGCCTAGTGGGGCTGGCGGGGCGCGATGGGGCCAGCGGGGCTAGCGGGGCTGGCGGGGCGCGAAGGGGCCAGCGGGGCTAGCGGGGCTGGCAGGGTGCGACGGGGCCAGCGGGGCTAGCGGGGCCTACCGGGGCTAGCAGGGCGCGAAGGGGCCAATGGTTCTAGCAGGGCCTAGCGGGGCCGGCGGGGCGCACGGGGCTGGCGGGGTGCCACGGGGCCAGCTGGGCGCTCGGGGCCAGAAGGCTGCTAACGGGGCTAGTGGGGGCTGAGGGGGGGGGCGCGAAGGGGCTGGCGTGGCGCTAAGGGGCGGCTAGGGGAGACCTAACCTAGCGTGATACCATGTGAAAGTGAGAATGATTGACTAGATTGAGGTGGTACAAGGGGATATAACCAAAGGGGTTGTACTCTATATAAGCATGCACTTAGCTAGCCTATAACATATACAAATTATATGTTGACACATGTATCATAGTGTTTGTTAACTTTACACATGTTTTCCTTCAACCAGTAGCTGACTTCAACTCCGTTGGACTTTATGGAACTCCTAAGCATGGAAAACGAATAAACGGAAGGGGGAGACGGTAAGAGACGACAGGTTCGACGAAACGGGATGTGTACACGGGATAACAGCCGTCTTGTGCCTCACCTGCTAACACCCGCCGTGTGCCTCACCTGCTACAGCCGTCTCGTGCCTCACCTGTTACAGGCGTCTTGTGCCTCACCTGCTACAGCTGTCTTGTGCCTCACCTGCTAACAGCAATGTTGTGCCTCACCTGCTACAGCCATCCTGTGCCTCACCTGCTACAGCCGTCTAGTGCCTCACCTTCTAAGAGCCGTCTTGTGCCTCACCTGCTGCAGCCATCCTGGGCCTCACCTGCTACAGCCGTCTTGTGCCTCAACTGCTACAGCCATCCTGTGCCTCACCTGCTACAGCCGTCTTGTGCCTCACCGGCTAACAGCCATCATTTCCTTCACTTGCTACAGCCGTCTTGTCCCTCACCTGGTAGAGCCGTCTTGTGCGCGCCACCAGGTTGAGGAGGGCGCAGATGCCAGCGAGGCACACGAGGGCCATCACCAGGAAGGTCAGGCGGAAGCAAGCCGGCCCCATGCACCGGTGGGGCAGCTCTGACTTCCCTGATAGCAGCTCGGCTGCCCCTGCTGCCCCTGTTGCCCATTGCCCCCTGGATGTGGAAGACAGTGCAGGCACAGAAGTTGCAGCAGTGGTGGCGGTGGTTGTGATAGGAGACACGGAGGGAGAGGCAAGCGAGGAGGAGGAGGAGAGGGCTTGCAGGTGGAGGGAAGCTGACCGTTGGATGGCGGATTGACGGTCGTAGATGTAGCCGGCTAGCTTGACGGAGAGGCAGTAGGAGCCCACCGTGGATGAGATGCTGGCGGGCAGGGGCACGGGCAGGGGGGGTGAAGGCAGGCAGATGAAGTCAGGCAGATGGAGAGACGGAGAAGCAAGGGACGTGAGAGTAGAACGCTTTGGGCCATGAGGATTTACAAGTACAGAGGCGGATCAGACAGCAACATTCTAGACGGTTTGGCCTTGACCAGTGAAATGCCTGTTGTAATATATTATTATATACAACATGCATGACTAGAATAGGAGGTGTAGACATTTAAGTTATTGGGGGGTTGTTGGTTGGGATCACCAACCACAATTTGGTTGGTCAAGATTGGATTTAGCCTTGGTCCTTTGGTTGGCACTTTCCAACCGAATGGTCCCAAGGCTCCACCAATCAGCAACCACCACACTTTGGGGTTGCTTCCCCTCCAAGCTACCTCTCCCATTGGCCACTATTCTAGTCAAAAGGAGTGCTTTCCGTTCCAACCTTTTCTTGCTCCTTGGTTGTACTATAGAGCCTCTTGGCTCCTTTTCTAGTTAACACTTTTCTCTCTAATGTTACTTCTCTCATGGTATTCAGAGCGAATGGCTCACGCCACCCGGTCGATCCTAACTAGCACGGCCTAGTCCTTCCTCCCCTCCTCGCTCTCCAGCCCTAACCCGCCCTCAGGCTACCCCGCTGTCCCTTCCGGTATCCCCTCCTCTCCCGCTTCCGCCTTGCGCTCCTTGCATCGCGTGTCTCCTCGCGCGCTCCTCCCGGCGAGCCCCTCCCGTCGCGCTGCTCCCGTCGCGCTGCTCCCGTCGCGCTGCTCCCGTCGCGCTGCTCCCGTCGCGCTGCTCCCGCCGCGCTGCTCCCGTCGCAGTTTTCGCGTCGCACTGTTCCCGTCGCACTATTACCGTCGCACTGTTCCAGTCGCGCGCTCCTCCCGTCGCGCGCTGCTCTTCTCCCGCTGCTTCTGTCGCACTGCTCCCGTCGCGCTCTCCTCCCGTCACGCTCCTCCAGTTGCGCGCTCCCCCCTTCATGCGCTGCTCCCGTCGCGCTGTTCCCGTCGCGCGCTCCTCCCGTCGCGCTTCTCCAATCGCGCGCTCCTCTCGTCGCGCACTGCTCCCGTCGCGCGCTGCTCCTGTCGCGCTGCTCCCGTCGCGCTGTTCCCGTCGAGCGCTGCTCCCGTCGCGCTGTTCCCGTCGCGCTGTTCCCGTCGCGCGCTCCTCCCGTCGCGCTGCTCCCGTCGTGCGCGGCCCCCGGCGCGCTCCTCCCGCCGCGCTCCTAAAGTCGCGCGCTCCTCTCGTCGCGCGCTGCTCCTGTTGTTATAAAATATATATCTATAAAACATGCATGCCTAGATTAGGAGGTGTAATCATTATAATTATTGGGGGGTTGTTGGTTGGGTTGACCAACCCCACATTTGGGTTGGTCAAGTTTGGATTTGGTCCTAGACATTTGGTTGGCACTATTCCAACCAAATGGTCCTTGGTCCTAGGAACCAACCAATCACCAAGCATCACAATTTATGGTTGCTTGCCTTCCAAGCAATCTTTCCCATTGGTCCACATTGTGGCCAATCGGAAAGCACCACACTTTGTGGTTGCTTGCCCTACAAGCAACCTCTCCCATTGGTCCACTTTATGGCCAATTGGAGAGTTTCCCTTCCAACTCTTCCTTGCTCCTTGTTTTGTACAATAGAGCCTCCTCGCTCCCTACTCAATTCAATCCTTTTTCCTCTAAGCTAGTTCCTTCACCCGTCGCCTACGGCGACTTAAGAGCTGTGCTCCACGCACCCGTTCATTTCTCCTCCTCCCTCCTCCTCTTCTTCCCCCTCCCTCCTCCTCCTCTTCCCCTCTCCTTCTCCTCCTCCCTCCTTCCTGCCCCCCCCCTTTCCCCCCCTTCCTTCCCTCCAGCATGGCGTCCTTGGATACTTCCGTGGATCTTGCCACCATGGATGCCCTTGAGCTGCTGTCGGACAACACTGCTGCAAGCTGGCATTCCTATGCCCACTCCATCGCCGTCCTCCTCTCCTCCGTGACAGTCACCGGCTTCAATCTCAAAGCTGTTGTTTTCATGGAGGAGCGCGGCCTTCAGCCTGTTGCGCCTGTCGCTCCCGAGGGCCCTGCACCCGATCATCCTGGTGATGCTCTCGAGTCCCCTGGCGATTCGCCCACTTTCGCCCCGGACGTCAGCGACCTGCAGAGCTCGGAGACCGCCATCCGCACGTATCGCAGCAGCCTCACCAAGCACCTCCGCCTGCTGCTGACCTATGAGAGTCAGAAGACCAAGTTTGATGCTGCATCCGCCGCCTACACTGCGCACCAGGCGGAGCTCGCTACCTACTCCACCCGCCAGCAGCTGTACATCACCAACATCACTGCCTGGCGTGTCGCTGATCGGCGTGCACTCGCCATCCTTCTCGCCACCATCCCCTCCTCCCTCAAGCGGGAGCTTGCTCCCACCTCCTCCTCCCACCTGTGGCAGCTCCTCACCGATCTCTATGATCGGCAGGACATTGCCACCCTCTACGCCCTCATTAAGGAGTTCGGGTCCCTGACCATGGATTCCTCCACCGGCGCAGCTGCATTCACTCGTCGTGTGCTCGACCTCGTCAGCCGCCTCGCTGCTCTCGGCGTGCCGTACCCGGATCCTGTGCTGTGCTGCCACCTCCTTGAGGGCCTGACTCCTGCCTTCGACGCCCACAAGCTCACCTACATGCAGCTCCTCTCCAAGAATGATACCCCAGCTCAGGTCGCTCAGTGGATCATCACCACTCAGGCCGATCTCTTACGCCATTCCTCACCCTCCGCCGCAGTCGCCGAGCCATGCAGCAGCAGGGGTGGGCGCGGGGGTGTACGTGGCGGTAGTCGCAGTGGAGCTGTGGGTCGTGGTGGTTCTGGGCGTGGTGGTGCAGGCCGTGGTGCAGCAGCGGCCTTCCCTCCCAGCCAGTATCTCCCTCGCTATGGCCCTACTCAAGGTCAGCGCTGCGGCCAGACCACTCATTCCACTGAGACGTACTTCAAGGCACCCAGTGATGAGTGGTTTGCCCGTGGCAATTCCGACATTCCTCCTCGCTGGTCCTCCCTCACTCCCCGCCCCACTCCCCAGGAGGTGCGTACCAATCTCCTCTACCAGCCCTATTCCTCCGCCCAGGCTAACCAGGCCATCGCCTCTCCCCTCCTTCAGCAACCGCAGCAGCAGCAGCCAGGGGTGCAGCAGCAGGGGCAGCAGCAGCAGCAGCAGCAGCAAGGGGTGCATCAGCAGCAGCAGGGGCAGCAGCATCTTCTCTCTCAGCTGCAGCAGCAGGTTCAGTAGCTGCAGCAGCAGGTTCAGTAGCTCCAGCAGCAGTTTCACCTCCAGTCACAGCTGCCACTAGCTCCTCCTCCCATGGTATCTCACCAGCAGTACTTCCCCGCTCGGACTGGAGGGAGTGCTGCCTCAGCCGCGCATCCCTTGCGCTCTCTGCTGTTGGCAGTGTAACCACCCCCTTCCCTTCTTCTGGCTTTGTTGGCATGCTTAGTCAGGCTGACCCTCCTGCTCCTTCCATGTATTCCGGTGCTATTAATGAGAATGTGTTTCAATACTCCACCCCCCCACCTCCTCCCTCGCCTCTACCTCCCTCCACCCTGGAGTTCGTCCTTGACAGTGGAGCCACTGAGACAGTCCTCCGCGACGCTCGTACTCTTAATCCCCTTTCCGTTCCAACTTCCTTCCTTGGTGCTGACACCAGTTTCTCCATCCCCTGTCGGCACACCTCCACCCTCCCATGAGCCCTCTTCCCCTCAGGTACCGTAACTGGGCTTCACATCCCTTCTCTTCGTACTGACCTCCTTTCCCAAAGATCCCTGCAACAAGCTGGTATCACTACAGTCTTCCCACGTCGCGCAAACCATTGCCTCCTGTATCACCCCACTGGTCGTATCCTCTCCCGCATTCCCTTTTGCCCTCACTCACACCTGTATACCCTCAAGGTCCCCCTCCCTCTCACCTTTCCCCCCCTCCCTCCCTCCTCTGCTCCTCCTTGCTCCATCTGTGTCTAGAGTAAGGTCAAGCAACTCCCCCATCAGAGTTCCCCCTCCACTGCCGCTAAGCCGCTTGACCTTGTTCACATGGACCTCTCGGGCCCCAACCCCTCCCCTTCCCGCCAGGGCCATCGCTACATGTTCGTCCTGGTCGATGATCACAGCCGGTATTCCTCCGTCTCCCTCCTCCGCTCGAAGGGCGACGCTTCGGCTGCGATCATCGCCTGGCTCGAGCATGCTAGCACTCACTTTGGCCGCCCTGTCCGCCGCCTTCACTCTGATAGCGGTGGCGAATTCCTTAACCGCCAGGTAGCTTCCTATTGTGAGTCCCATGGCATTCGCCAGACTCACACCCTTCCCCACTCCCCCCAGCAGAATGGTGTGGCTGAGAATCGTGTTCGGGAGATCACCAAGATTGCTCGGTGTTTCCTAGTTCATGCCTCCTACTCTCCTTACTAACCTGTACCCTCACCCCATCCTCCCCTCCACCACTCCCACCGAGCTCTGGACGTCAGACAAGCCTGATGTCTCCTCCCTTCGTGTGTGGGGCTCCAAGGCGTATGTTCTCATTCACCCCTCGGATCGCCCCCGCGCAGTGGGCAAGCTCACCTCCCGCACTCTCCCCTGCATTTTCCTTGGTCATAACTCTTCCTCCCCTGACTACCTCTTCCTCCATCCTCCTTCATGTCGTTTCCTCCGCAGTCGAGATGTGGTCTTTGATGAGTCCACACCCTACTATTCCTCCCCTCCTGCCACTGACCCCCTCACTCCCACTCCCAGGTCCCTTACCTGGTCTAACACTCGCCCCCCCCTCTTCTCCCTCCCCCTCCCATTCTCCCCCCCGCCCCACCTCCGCCCCCCCCTGCCTCCTCAGCCCCCAGTGCTCTTGCCTCCTCAGGTGACATCTTTGATCCCCCAGTCCTAGGTGCCCCCCCTCCTGATACCTTGTCCTTCTCTACCTTGCCTCCTCTCTCCTCTCTCATGCGCCTCCTTTTCCAGGCTGTCTTGCAACAAAACACCAGTCCCACCCTGACGCCGAGCTCCAGTGTCGCAGTCCCAGCAGCAGCAGCCCCATCTGCAGCCGCAGTTCCTCCTCCCACATCCTCACTTTGCAGCGGCAGCAGCAGTCTCTCCTCCCTCATCCTCACCAGCAGCGGCCTCAGCAGCGGCAGTAGCAGATGCAACGGCGGCAGCAGCAGCAGTAGTTCTCTCCTTCAACTTCCACTCCTCCCTCCTTGAGGACTCTCATGAGGAGTTCCTGAACCTCCACCTCCATGATCCCTCCCTCCTTCCCATCTCCCCTGACCTCTCCGGCACACCTGTCTTCGCCTTCGCCTCTGGCCCCGCCATCTTCGTCCCTGGCACGTACGAAAAGACGATGGCGTGCCCTGACGCCCACCTCTGGCTCGCGGCCATCCTCAAGAAGTTGGAGGCCTTTATTGCCAACTCCTCTTTTGTGGATGTGCCATGTCTCCCCTCTACCACTAATGTGGTCAAATGGAAGTGGGTGTTTCAGGGGAAGCAGCTGCCTGGCGAGCCGCCGGTCTACAAGGCCCGCTACGTTGCCAAAGGCTTCACCCAGCGCTACGCCGTCGACTTCTTCGACACCTTCTCTCCCACCGCCAAGCCTGCCACTATTCGTGCAGTGCTTTATCTCACTGCCCGCCTAAACATGGAGATCCACTCCATGGACGTCTCCAATGCCTTCCTCCAGGGCATTCCTCGCGAGCTCATCTTCATGGATCGTCCTGCAGGCTTCCACCTTCCCTTCCCTCCTGATTCCGCCTGGCAGCTGCGTCGCCCAGTTTACGGCCTCAAGCAGGCCCCCAGGGAGTGGCATGCCAAGCTCGCTGTCACCCTTGCTGATCTGCTTTCGCACCTCCCGCGCCGATCCCAGCCTCGTCCTCCGCACCTCCCCCTCCCCCTTCCACATCCTTGTCTATGTAGATGATATGATCCTTGTCACTGCCGACTCCGCCGAGCTCGAGCGCGTCAAGCGCGAGCTCGGCAGTCGGCTCAAGTGCAAGGACCTGGGTGAGCTACAGCATTACCTCGGCATGGAGATCACCCGTGACTGCGCAGCTCGCACCATCTCCCTCTCCCAGAGCCACTACCTGCAGCAGGTCCTAGAGCGGTTTGACATGGCCAGTGGCAGCCCTCAGCCCACTCCTCTTCGTGTTGGGCACCACCTCGCTCCTCCCACCTCCCCCTCCTCCTCCCCTCACCCCTATCTTGAGCTCATCGGCTCCCTCATGTACGCCATGGTCTCCACTCGCCCCGACCTGGCATACCCCATCAGCGTCTTGGCCCGCTTTGTTGGTACCGGCAAACACAATGCCACATACTGGCAGACGGCCAAACGCGTCCTCCGCTATCTCCGAGGGACCAAGGACTACGTCCTTACCCTTGGTGGCCCCTCCCCTCCCCTCCTCACCGGCAACTCAACTCCTCTTGGGCCGATTCTCGGCCCGACCGCCACTCCTCTATGGCTTTTCTCTCGGCAGCGGCCTCATCAGCTGGCGTTCCACCCGCTCCTCCACCATCGCTCTCTCCTCCTGCGAAGCGGAGCTGTACGCCGCCACCATGGCCGCTCAGGAGGCCCGTTGGCTCTCTTTCCTTCTTGAGGAGCTTGGTGCCCCTCAGTGCTGTCCCACCATCTTGTGCGACAACGCCATCACCATCCACCTCATGAAGGATGCGATGTTTCACGGGCGCTCGAAGCACATAGAGCTTCGCCACTACTTCATTCGCGAGCTCGTTCAAGACGGCCACCTCCAGATGGGTAAGATTGCCTCTGATATCTTCACCAAGGCTCTCCCCCTCACCCTCCACGCCTCCCTCCTCCGTCTCCTTGGCCTCACCCCTCCTATCACCCTTCCGCCTCTTAATTCATGGCTTCTAGTCTTATGCATGTTGGGGGGTTGTATTGTAATATATTATTATATACAACATGCATGATTAGAATAGGAGGCGTAGACATTTAAGTTATTGGGGGGTTGTTGGTTGGGATCACCAACCACAATTTGGTTGGTCAAGATTAGATTTGGCCTTTGTCCTTTGGTTGGCACTTTCCAACCGAATGGTCCCAAGGCTCCACCAATCAGCAACCACCACACTTTGGGGTTGCTTCCCCTCCAAGCTACCTCTCCCTTTGGCCACTATTCTAGCCAATAGGAGTGCCTTCCGTTCTAACCTTTCCTTGCTCCTTGGTTGTACTATAAAGCCTCTTGGCTCCCTTTCTAGTTAACACTTTTCTCTCTAATGTTACTTCTCTCAATGCCTAGACTAGACCCTCCTGCCGCATTTGTCAAGAATGTTGCATTCACGTAAGCATACTGCACTCACCTGAGCGTATTGTAAAGCGCCCCAAAGTGTTTTAGCCCGAACAGCTCAGACGCAGTGGTGACCATCAGCGTCCAATGCGCCCCGTGCGCCGCCCCTACCAGCGCCGCTGCGGGGTAAAGAAGCAGAGGGTCTGCAGGGTAGGGGAAGCAAACAGGTTTGGGGGTAGAGGGGCAACAAACATGGATGGCGGATGCATTGACGCAGTGGTGACCATCAGAGTCCAATGCGCCCTGTGAGCCGCCCTTACCAGCGTCGCTGTGGGGTACAAGAGGAGAGGGTCTGGATGCAGGGGGGTAGGGGCAGTGCGTGGAGACGGGGCCACAGACCACCCGCATTCAGTGTGGCCAGTGTGCCGCCCCCACCAGCGATGCTGCGGGGTACAAGAGGAGAGTTTTTGGACTCTGGATGCCGGGGCGTGGGGTGCGGAAACAGGGGGAGGGGTTGGGGGAAATGGGGAGGCGATGGGGTGACGGCAGCAAGTATGGGGAGGGCACAAGAGGCATGGGGGAATGGCGAGTGGCATGGGGGGATGGCGAGTGGCATGGGGGGATGGGGGGTTTCATAGGGGGATGGGTAAAGGAATGAGAAGTTGAGGCTAATCCCCTGGGTGCGTGTCAGCACTGGTAACAGCACCACCACTACCCAACAGAGCAACGGTTACTGCACACACGCACCTCCGATGGCAAACAGCAGGTGCCCGCATCCCCTGGCTGCCTGCACCAGCGGCATGCAGAGAGCGCCAAGTGCCAAGCGCACACCCTGCATTTGCTTTGGAAGGGCTCAGTGGCTCACTTGTCCCAGCAGCAGGCGACTCACCCCCGATGCTGAAGAGCAGGTGTGCGCACCCCATGGCCGCCTGCACCAGCAGCATGCACAGCGGGCGTGGTGTGCAGAAGCGCTTCAAGCACTGCTCCGACACGTAGCTGGACGCATGGAGGGGGGGAAAAAAAGGAAACTTGAAAAAATCGAACTGAACAGACAGTGGCTTCGCTTGCAAACAGAACAAGCTGTTTCAAATCTTGAAAAAAAAACCTTCTGTACTCACCCAGCCGCCATCCTTCCAAGAAAGTTCCAGATGCTGACGAGAGCAACAAGGGCGCCCACACTCGCAGAACCAAGAGACTCCGCCACCTGGCAGGGGGGGGGGGGGGGGAGGGGGAAGGGGACACAGGAGGTCACATGAAGGTCATTTGGTTTCTGAATGGGCAGTTTGGAGGGGAGCAAGAGGCGTCGTGTGTGAGGCACTTGAGCTACAGGAGGGATGGAAGGTAAATGACGCATGGCATGAGAAGAACAAGACATGGTTCTATAAGTGGCGTGGAGGGAGGAGGAGGCGCATCAGGCCACGTCAGCAAGGTTGCCATGGAGCGGAGGCACGGTTGGTGACCCTAAAACCCTCCGTCTCCTGCCTCGTTCCCCCATGCCTCTCCCAAGCACATGCCATCATCCCCAACTTCTTCCCCACACACACTCTCTGCCTCACACTCACTCTCTACCTCACACTCACTCTTTGCCCCCCACACACATTCTCTGCCTCACTGTAGCGAACCCTCCCCTATCCCATGTCCCTCATCCCCCCCTTAGGCTAATCACAAGTGTTTTCCTCCTCTCAGCTCCCAATGGCACACTGTATGTCCCATACTGCCTGTCCCCCTTCCCCCCACTGCCTAAACCCGCCACCTGCGCCAGGTTGTTGATGGCAGTGAGCCCTGACCCCGTGCCACACCCCATGGCGAAGAACAGCAGCCTGCGGGCCGGGCATGAGGGAGGAAAGGGGGGAGGGTGCCAAGGACGGAAGGGATGGAGAAAGCGGGGCGGGGAGAGTAATTGGGGGAAACTGCAACAAAGTGGGGGAGGAAGAGAGGTTGGTTGGCTTACACCTCACACCTACTGTGTAGCTGCAGGGTTGCTGGCAGCCAACCGACATGCAAGGTCAGAACTTTCCTACTGCCCCACGCACGGCCACCCTTCCTCTTGTCCGCCTCTTCCATCCATCCCCCTGCCTCCCATTATGAGGAAATTCCCGAGTGTCCTATAGCTGCATATTCGTACCAGTATTCAGGAGTCACAGCAGCCTGCCCCAGCGTGTGATCCACGCCCACTCGAAGAGCATTCCCTCTCTGCCCTCGCACCTCCTCCACAACCCCACGCGTACTACCCCTGCCGTCACTCTCCTGGCACTTGCCGTCCCTCCCATCCTCCCCGCCGCCACCCACGCAACCACCCACGCAACCACCCACGCCACCACCCACGCCACCACCCACGCCACCACCCACGCCACCACCCACGCCACCACCCACGCCACCACCCACGCCACCACCCACGAAACCACCAACGGCACCACCAGTCCCCCCCATACTGCCTCCCAAACCACTGCCCTGCCCACTGCTCCCTCCCTGCCCCAAGGCCGACCCTCGCACCCCCGGGCTGCCAGCCCGTTCACTCGCGCGCCCTGCACTACCGTCGGTAGCGGGTGTGCTTGTAAAGGACGTCGCCCTGAGAGGGCTTCCTTCGGTGTCGCTGAATGACTCACAGCTGCCCCTTCGGCTCATCACCCCCACGCCAGCGCTGCTGCAACTGCTGCCCACCCTACCACTGTTGCTGCTGCTGTCAGTGTGACTGGGATGAGAGAGCAGAGGGAAGGTCTCTCCAGCAGTGCTGTCATCCGCACCACGTGGCGAGGAGTGATCCGTGCGTGCATCTGCATGAGTCGCTATGCGCATGCCAGTGGGCTTCGAGTTGAAAGAGGTAGCAGCAGAGATAGCAGAAGAGGTGTCGGAAGAGCGGAGGTGGTGATAGTCTTGTGACATGTGGAGTGGAATCTTGGAGCCGATGGGGGCACTTGATTTGACCCACTGGGGGGGATGCCAGGGCGGGAATGTTGCGAGAGCGGGTGGGGGGGGGTGGGGTGAGGGGGGGAAGGGAGGGTGGAGTTGGTGTGAGGCTTTGGAGAGGAAGGCATGGAAGCGACAGAAAGAGGCAGGGAGGGGGAGGAGAGTGAGACTAGTGGAAATGATGGCTAAGGGATCGGTGGCGGATGTGGGAGAGAGGAGGCGCACGATCGCTGGACGGAAAAAGAGCAAACAGTTGCAAAAGATGACCACAATAGGGAAAGCGAGAATGGACTTGCGCCACTGAAACGTGAAAGCGGGCTTCTCATAAAAATGCAGCGGGGAGAGAAAAGTGCAGTGGAGAATGGGCGTCCCAGGATACACAGGGATGGGGATGGGGGGGGAATGGAGAAGCGCCTAGTGGCATGGAGATGGAAATATGGTGATGAGGATGAGGAGAAGTCATACTGGGAGAGTGATGAGGAGAGGTCATACCGGGAGAGTGATGGGGAGAGTGTTGTAAAATATATATGTATACAACATGCATGCCTAGATTAGGAGGTGTAGTCATTATATTTATAGGGGGGTTGTTGATTGGGTTGACTAACCCCACATTTGGGTTGGTCAAGATTGGATTTCGTCCTAGACATTTGGTTGGCACTATTCCAGCCAAATGGTCCTTGGTCCCAAGACCCAACCAATCACCAAGCACCACACTTTGTGGTTGCTTACCTTCCAAACAACCTTCCCCATTGGTCCACATTGTGGCAAATCGGAGAGCACCACACTTTGTGGTTGCTTGTCCTCCAAGCTACCTCTCCCATTGGTCTACATTACAGCCAATGGGAGACCTTCCCTCCATCTCTTCCTTGCTCCTTGTTGAGTGATGGGGAGAGGTCATACCGGGAGAGTGATGGGGAGAGGTCATACCGGGAGAGTGATGGGGAGAGTTCATACTGGGAGAGTGATGGTAAGAGGTCATACCGGGAGAGTGATGGGGAGAGGTCATACCGGGAGAGTGATGGGGAGAGGTCATACTGGGAGAGTGATGGGGAGAGGTCATACCGGGAGAGTGATGGGGAGAGGTCATACCGGGAGAATGATGGGGAGAGGTCATACCGGGAGAGTGATGGGGAGAGGTCATACCGGTAGAGTGATGGGGAGAGGTCATACCGGGAGAGTGATGGGGAGAGGTCATACCGGGAGAGTGATGGGGAGAGGTCATACCGGGAGAGTGATGGGGAGAGGTCATACCGAGAGAGTGATGGGGAGAGGTCTTACCGGGAGAGTGATGGTGAGAGGTCAAACCGGGAGAGTGATGGGGAGAGGTCATACCGGGAGAGTGATGGTGAGAGGTCATACCGGGAGAGTGATGGGGAGAGGTCATACCGGGAGAGTGATGGGGAGAGGTCATACCGGGAGAATGATGGGGAGAGGTCATACCGGGAGAGTGATGGGGAGAGGTCATACCGGTAGAGTGATGGGGAGAGGTCATACCGGGAGAGTGATGGGGAGAGGTCATACCGGGAGAGTGATGGGGAGAGGTCATACCGAGAGAGTGATGGGGAGAGGTCTTACCGGGAGAGTGATGGTGAGAGGTCAAACCGGGAGAGTGATGGGGAGAGGTCATACCGGGAGAGTGATGGTGAGAGGTCATACCGGGAGAGTGATGGTGATAGGTCATACCGGAAGAGTGATGGGGAGAGGTCATACCGGGAGAGTGATGGTGAGAGGTCATACCGGGAGAATGATGGGGAGAGGTCATACCGGGAGAGTGATGGGGAGAGGTCATACCGGTAGAGTGATGGGGAGAGGTCATACCGGGAGAGTGATGGGGAGAGGTCATACCGGGAGAGTGATGGGGAGAGGTCATACCGGGAGAGTGATGGGGAGAGGTCATACCGAGAGAGTGATGGGGAGAGGTCTTACCGGGAGAGTGATGGTGAGAGGTCAAACCGGGAGAGTGATGGGGAGAGGTCATACCGGGAGAGTGATGGGGAGAGGTCATACCGGGAGAGTGATGGGGAGAGGTCATACCGGGAGAGTGATGGGGAGAACCAGCAGCAGCAGCATGCCCGTCATGAAGACAAGGCGATAGGGGCGAGAGAGAGACAGGGACTCCTGGGTGATGGGCGGGTGGGTCATGGGAAAGTGAAAGCAGCACCAACAGGGTTATGGAAGCTGATAAAACATGAGGGATGTGAGGGCTGCTGGTAAGGCGGAAAGTCAGCAGTACAGTGATATAGGATGCATGCATGTCACGTACGGCAAAACTTGTTAGACTTGACGCTGACTGGAGTGGGGAGTACAATGCGGAGGGTTCAGTGGTAGCCCAGTAGGTGAAGTGGTAGCCCCATAGGTGCAGTGGTAGCCCAGTAGGTGCAGTGGTAGCCGAGTAGGTTCAGTGGTAGCCTGGTAGGTAGACATGGGCAGCATGCCGAGCCTGGCTCGACTCGGCTCGACTCGACTGGCCTTTTTGGCGAGTCGAGCCTGGTTTTTTTTTTGGCTGGCTCGCCCCGAGTCGAGCCGGGTCGAGCCGGTTGAGCCGCGCGGCTCGACTCGACTCGTCGCAAATTTCAGGGCGAGCCGAAGTCGAGCCGGCCCGACTTTGGCTCGACTTTGGCTCGACTTTGGCTCAACTCCCGAAGCGCGCGGCTCGCCCGTGGGGGGTCAAAATTCGACCCCCCTGGAAGTTGACAATCCATTCTAGATTTTCGCCATCGAGCCTAAGCCTACATCTGAGCTATTTCGCCACCCTAGCTTGCCCTCTTTCCACCAACACCACTACTTCATATTTTTTTCGACTACCTTTTGGTGTTGTAGGAAGGATGTAAGGGCTTAGGGACCTCTACATGCAGAACATTTACAGCGATCTAGCAAGACCTTTTCAAAACATGCAGAAGAAACCCTTTTGGCGAGTCAAGCCGAGCCGAGCCAAAGTCGAGCCGACTCTTGGCTCGACCCTGAACCCCCGATTCGAGCCAACCATTTTAGGGCAGCCGGCTCGGGTCGAGCCGAGTCGGCTCGGCTCGACTTTTGCCTGGCTCGAGTTCGAGTCGAGCCGAGTCGAGCCAGGCTCGGCATGCTGCCCATGTCTACCGGGAGGTGCAGTGGTAGCCCGGTAGGTGCAGTGGTAGCCCGGTAGGTGCAGTGCATTCAAGCACCGTGGCAGCGCAAATGAGCAGATGGGATGAGCAGGTGAGCATGGGGTGCGGCATCACTCAGTTTCTCACACAACTGAGTCGCAACTTGGCCACGCTGCCACTGCATCCCGTTTGAGACTCCATGCAGTCTCCTGGAGACTCGTTGTCATTCGATGACCCGTACACCGCAGATCACTTGTCACCATGACATGCCATTGCATTGCGTCACTCCTTACTTGCACCGCACCGTATGCATTTGACCAATACCAGCTATGCGTGTCCAGCATGCACCTGGCGTACCTGCAGGGCCATGACTAGCATGAGGTACAGCGCGAGGCCCACTCCAACGACCTGATGGGGGGAAAGAAGGTACGGGGGAGAGAGAGGAAGGGGGAAGAAAAGGGGGGAGGGGAGGTGTGGAATCCGGGGCAAGTGGGGGGGATGTGCACACGCAGCAAGCAATGAGTCAAACAAACACGTCATATCGTACTGTGCTGAACTGAACGCTGCCAAGGGCGTCTGAGAAAGAGAAAAGGAGCCTCTGAGAAGGAAAGCCCGGTTGAGAAGCCTCTGAGCGGCGTGCGAGGAGAGAGAGCAAGGCACAAAGAGAGGGAGCGACGCACATAGAGGAACCGGAAGCGGGAGTTATCGCCCGCATCTCTCTTGGCAGCGGCGAGCAGGCGCGGGTCCATGGGGCGGATGACAGCCATGGCGAGCAGGGCCACCACAGGGGGCAGCAGCGCGCACAGCAGGAGGAACGGGGCCGTGTGGGGCGCGTACAGAGCTGTGTAGAGCTGGGAGAGAGGGACAGCGGACGGGGGGTGTGGAGGGGGGGATGGGAGTAAAGGGGGGAAATAGGGAGGAGGGGGTGGAGGAAGTGGGCAAGGGTTCACAAGGTGATAGATGACCAATGAGGGCAGTGCAGTGAGAGGGGGTAGGAGCACGTGGACCTGGAAGCAGTGTGTGGCGTGCTCGGAGCTGAGACAGGGGGGGAGGCAGTGGGCCAGTTGAAGGCGAGGGAGGGGAGGAAGGAGAAGGGTGGATATATCTACATGTATGCATATTTTTCTGAGTGCCAAGCTGCAAGTGACATCAGAGATACCGTGGGGCCAATTGCTGGTCACTGGACCATCCTGTTCCCCCCTCTCCCCTACCCTCCTCGTGCAAACAAAGGCTGGACAAAAACCCGCGTACCTAGCACTCAGCGCACTCAGCAGCGTCAAACAAGCACGCTCTTTGTCTTGGGTGTTAGGCCCTCACGCTTCACAGTGGTCCTGCTTGATTCCATGCTCCACCGTATCGCCGCCCCCACATAATTTGAGACCGCCTTCATGCGCCATGTCCCCGATAACTGGTGCATGCAGCAGAGAGACTTTCATGCCTTGTCCCACCCAATGAGCCACTACCTAATTCGCATACCACTTCCATTTCTCTACAGCTGCACCAAGTACGAGCTGCACAGAGTATAACCTGCACCAAAAACCATCTTCTCCACCACCAGTGTGAGAGCCACCAAGCCCTACAGAGCCTTGAGCAGCCCAACCATCACGGCCCTATCGTCCTCACAGGTACTGCCTTGACTCCCCCCCCCCCCCCACCCCGCCTTGCCAATCTGACCTGCGTGAAGATGGCCCCGCTGAGCCCGATGAAGCCCTTGAGCAGCCCCACCACCACGCCCCTGTCGCCCTCAAAGTTGCGGATGCTGCCACGCAGAGCAGCACGAGAATGGGGGAAGGGGGCATTGGGGGGAGGACAGAAGGGGGGACAGAGAGAAGGGGGTACGGGGGGGAGCGTGGAGCGCAGTAGAGATGGGGTGGGATGGAGATGGCGAAACCTCTATATTGAGGAGAGGGGAGCAGAGGGATGCAGAGAGAGCAGGAGACACGAGGGCAGGCGAAGAGAGAGAGCAGAATGGATGGTGAGCAGGCGACGAGAGAGAGAGCAGAATGGATGGTGAGCAGGCGACGAGAGAGAGAGCAGAATGGATGGTGAGCAGGCGACGAGAGAGAGAGCAGAATGGATGGTGAGCAGGCGACGAGAGAGAGAGCAGAATGGATGGTGAGCAGGCGACGAGAGAGAGAGCAGAATGGATGGTGAGCAGGCGACGAGAGCAGGTGTTGAAGTATCGAGGCATGGCAGGTGCAGAGGCGAAGAGGCTCACCATGTGACGAGCACAGCCGTGTTGAACCACGTGGCACCGTTGGTCCCGAGCATGATGAAGACGCACATCTGCCAGATACAATGAACTCGGACGCAAAGAAGTACTTTTGAGGCGCCTCAGAACGAGCAGAGCTGATGGCGATGCGCATGAGAACACACAGACAGTTGAACGCGATGGGATGGAAAGCACAACCCAGCAGATGCTCAAAGCGATGCTCTTCAACGCATTGCTCAACCAGACATTTGAAGGCACGAGAGACTCGAGAGGGTTGGGCCCAGGGAACGGGCTGAACCATCTGAAACGGGCCTGCCTGGTAGAAACAGCAAGGTTCAGCTGACACGGAATTCACCTGCACGCAAACAGCAAGACTCGCCTGAATTGGGCTCCAGAGAGAAACGAGGGGAGCGCACCTGCCAGAAGGGAGGGCGAGTGATCCCCATTGACGCCATGTACAGCTGGCACGCGGAGATTGGTGGAGAGAGGGAGGCCGGTTGAGAGGGCGAGGGAGGGGAGACAGTGCAGAGAGGTGGTGACGAGGTGAGACATAGAAAGGTGTGGAACGGGGAGGGATATGGAATGGGGGAAGGGGGAGGAGGAGGGGGGTGGAGGGGGGGGGGGGGACCTGAAAAAGGCAGATAACGAGTGAAGGGATGAGAGGAGAGCGCTACATGCTGATGTAAAAATGAACTGGTGCAACTTTCAGTGCGTGCAGTGTACCATGGAGTACCCGAACAGGTGCATGGCCGCGCCTATAGCGAGGATAGCCCACGCGGGCATGAGGTCGATCAGCAGCCCCGACACGATCCCCACGTTCCCGCCAATATCCTTCGCGGTTCCTAACCCGTCCACCAGTTCTTGCGAGTACTGTAGCTTGTTCTTTAGCGCGGCGGAGTATAGCGAGAACGCGTACGAGATCCCCCCGCACGCCTGCAGCCACATGCCGAGGATGAGCCCCAGCCACCGGTCCCGCCACATGCGCTGCACGCGATTCAGGAGCGTCGCCATGGCTGGCGGTACTACGCGCGAATGATGGCGGCACGGGAACCGCCACTACGAGCACCAGTAAAAGTGCCGGCAGTGTCCGGCCGTAGACGCGCGCATTGGGCTGGATCCAGGATCGCGGCACGTCGGATGCAAAGAAGGTGAAGGCAGTGCGAAAGCAGGTGAGTCAAAGCCGGCGCGGAAGGAAGCAAGGAAATCACGGCCTTCGTGGCATCGGTAAGAGAATGCGATGATCGGCTCAGACCTCGAGGACCCGTTGCCTGTCGCCCGCAGCGTCCATCGCATGGACCTGGACGAATGCTCGAGATGCATGGGCCAAGAAAAACAGCCTGACACACCCCTCTCCCTTGTGTAAACGGAGCTTCATAAAACGTCGAAAATGCATTTGAGGTTGATGCACCGCACTGTAACATGTGGCACCGCTCCTTCCGCCTTGAATAAAGCTCAGCTCACACAGCAACCCACTTCTAACAAGTGTTGAAACTCGCAATGCCATTCGCCGATCTGAGCTGCCACGCTGGACAAAAGCGAGGACGCATTTCCCTCGAGTTAGGGACGTGTTAAAGCCCGCGTCTACATTTGTGGTTGCTGTTTTCAAATTAAAAACATTTGAAAGGAGGTAACCTGATGGACTGAGCTACTTTGCCGCTAACTCGCCCAAACCTTTAAAAACATTTGAATCTGGCCTCGATCACAATTGTGTACAGATTTGGCTCACCCCAGGATTTCGATTCCCCTCCCCCTCCAATTGCGATTCCCCTCCCCCTCTAATTGCGATTCCCCCTCCCCCCTCCAATCGCGATTCCCCCTCCCCCTCCAATTGCGATTCCCCTTTTCCCCGTCCAATTTCGATTCCCCCTCCCCTCCAATTATGATCCCCCCCTCCCCCCTCTCCCCAAATTTCGATCCCCTCCCCCTAAAATTTCCTTCCCCCCTCCAATCTTGCAACTCCCACTTCTCGATGCTTGCGAAGTCCGCATACTCTGTCGTCAGTTTTCCAGTATCGCCTCTCTCGTAAGCCAATCACGCAATACCAGGCCGACAAATCCTAAAGCTACACCACGAACCCCCTCAAATGTAGTCGCCGGCTTTAAAGGGACGCCAATTGGAGGAAATCTCTTTGACACTGGACCCCAGCCCAGCCCCAAGGGCAAGGGCATATGCTTCCGTCAATACACATAGGCATGTCAATACCAGGACCTTGCATTCCGCTTCCACACCAAAATTGTACAGTGTATGACTAATTGTAATGAAATATTTCCTTACCACGGGTTTTAGCCACTAAGGCGTACACTGCTATAACAGGGTTGCCGCGCAGCTCTGCCACGAAATTCAAATCGCGGTCCCAAATGTGGCCTCCTGATGAGCCGCGGGCATTGTTGCCTGTCTTGCTGTTGCATGCCTAGACCTGGACGCTTCGCGCCGATTTACGAACCACACGTCGCAACTCTGCCGAGCCAGAACCGTGTGCTATAAGCTAGCTATATCCATGCTCCCTGATGTTTGATGTTGCCTCAGTTGTATTGTTTCCTCGTTAATCAATCCTTCGACACACGCTCTTTGCGCTTCATTACACCCCGCTTCCGCAAGCTCGTCCGCAACCAGCCGCCAGCCAACTAGCCGTCAGCCGCCAGCCGCCACCAGCTAGCTTGCCATCCAGACAGCAGCCAGCCAGCTAGCCCCAGCCAGCTCGCCAGCTGCTGCCACTCGCGCCAGCCCATGCCGACCCGCACCTGCCCGCGCCAACCAACGCCAGCTCCGCACCAGCTCGTGCCAGCCTGCACCGGCTCCACACTAGCACCGGCCGCCAACCACCAGCCACTAGCGCTGGCCACCAGCTGCCACATCTACTGTTATCCGCCACCTAGAATGTAAGACCATCATTTCACATACGGCTGATGCAACCATATATCGCCAGCAACAGCAGTTTGCCTCGTCAGCGAGCCAACCCGAACACCCGACAGCTCGCCGAACCAACCATCGAACCTGCGAAGATCCTTAGCCATCGGATCAAAGACCCTCGAGGTGCTCGTCTGATCGAGTTCCTAGTATTCTGGAAGGACCGGGCGTCCCTGGAAAACAATTGGGTGCCCCTCATACATATCAAGAATTACATGGCGTTACGAGTCTACCTCCAGTCACGCAAGGTGCGTGATGTCGATGAGCTTAGTAAATACCATACCTAGGACGGGGAAGAGTGTTAGGAAATGGTATTTCTTTATCCCGGGTTTTAGTCAGTAAGGCGTACACTACTAAAACGGGGCTGTCGCGGAGCCTGCCACGAAATTCAAATCGCGACACCCAAATGTGGTTTCTTGACGAGCCGCATACATTTTGCCCGCCTTGTAGTTTTCATGCCGATAACTGGGCGCTTCAGGCCAATTTGCAAACCACACGTCTCAACTATGCCAAGACTCGACCGTGTGCTCCAAGCCTAGCTATATCCAAGATCTCGGTTGTTTTTATATTGCCTCATTGTATGAAACACAAGGCTAAATACAAGCATAGCTAGCCTAGCAAGGGAGCCTCGCGGAGGGCCACGGAACACACGTGAGGTGGTTTGGGCGCCTCGGGGCTCGGAATTGTCGGACGTGACTCCGTGTGTAGGCTTGGGGCCTCGAACGTACTGTAGTTCGGGACTTGGGTTGTCCGGCCGAGCCTGGAATTCTGAAAGTCAGGGCTGTACTTGATGTTAGCGAGGCTCATTAAGGAAGAAGGGGTTTCCTTACAACATCAAGCCTTGACCTTTTTTACATACCTTCTTTCCTCTATTGTACCACACGGAGCAGTCCAAATTTCAATCCCACCTGCCACGTTCTCAGCATGACTCGCATTGACACTTGCCATAATCCTCCTAATATAAGCCTGGGGCGCTTTTAGGAAACCCCTTCAAATTTCAACGGGCGCTTGTAATCGAAAGAAAAGAAAATATATGCGCAACGCTTATCATATAGTTCTTACGGAAAAAACATATACCTTGACGACACTGTTACAGGGAAGTTTACTGTTTATAGGGTATTTACCTTGACAACGCTACTAATCGTATCCTAAAAATTATCTCTTCATAATCCAACTCAGATTTCCAACTGCCACGTGGCACTCTAGTTTCCCCAAGTAATCCCATTTTGTCCCACGACTCATTTTCCCACGGTTGTTCTTGCATGCTATGTAAGCCTTGCTTGTATCTGCCAATATCATGAATCATTTACCCAGTTAATTCTTCGCATACTTCGCCAACAACTTCTTCGCCAAAGTCTTCCACTGCGCTTTTTCCTCGACTAAGACAACCCCGCAATTCTCTGGAGGATTTAGGCCAAGCGGCCAAACACTTGGCATCCAGAGCTTGGTGGGGAACGACTTCCAATAAGACTATGCCTTCATCGCCCCGCGGTGCCAACTTGTAGACTTGGAGTCGTCGAGCCGATCATGGACACCGCCATGGGACCTCAACCCCAAGACATGGGCAATGCGCTCGCCACCCTCATGCAACAACTCGAGGCGTTGATGCTTAAAAATCGTCACGTATGGGTTGAAATGCAACAGCTTCGTAAATTGGCTTCTTCTAACCCCCATGGCCATACTGCACCAATTCCTGCACCCAACACGCCAACTGTCGTAGAAGCGCTGTCAGAACACCGAACGACACTGAAGCCGGAGAAGCCAGAGTCGTTCATCCCAAGTCATCACGACGCGAATGTGCGATGTGGACCTTCATGCTCAACAACTACTTCAACGCAAGCAGGGTGCAAGAGACAGACGCGAAGCAGCGAAATTGAGTACTCCGTGACGCTGCTGAGGGGCCCGGCATTGGATTGGTGGCGCCAACTCATGCAAACTGCTGTAAGAAGGGCTCACGTAGACAGGCATCAGCAGGGCGAGGGGAATGCAGCTGCAACGTCGAGCTTAGGTAGTCTAGCTTTGGGTGTTACCACGGTTCCAACCATATGGGGAGGATTTGAAGCGGTGCTGAAAGCTAGATTCGATTTGGTGAATGCCTCCAAAGATGCTAGGAAGCGTCTGCGTCATTTCCGCCAAATAGGAAACGTACAGGAATACACATGACAGTTCTTGAGCCTCAGCAACAAAACAGATGACATCACGGAAGCAGAAATGCGAGATCGCTACCTCGAGGGGTTAAGGTCGGACAGAGCGGAGGTCATAGCGATTCACAGGTTGTCCACCTTCGAGGCAGTAGCTGCTGCAGCAGAAGGCGTTGACGCAGTACGAAGCCGACGGGGTTATGATAGTTGCAATAGGAGCTACAAGAATCCGATCAACGATACTCGCTCGAGGGACAGACCATCGCCCATGGAGATTGTTGCAGTTAACAGTGATGGCTCACAGAGACCAGGATCTAGGGGGAACTATCACTACGGCAAAAAGCCAAGACACATGAAGCGGGATTGTCCTCAGTTTAAATAGCGGCAGCAAGGAAACCGAAACCGCCAGTAGATAGCATGGTCGCTAGCTGGTGTGCAGGCTTCCGTACCCGCCCTGTCTACCCACGTAGAAGAGACAACCCTAGAGGAGTCATCTACGCCGAACGAGGTAGACAGTGTTGATCAGCTGGTCATGCTACTTTGGAAGCGTTGTGGAGTCCTAGTCAAGATTCTCGAAGATAGCGGATCTAGCCACTCATTCGTTTCCTCGTCACTAGTCTGTCGTCACTAGCCACTCATTGGTGCTGCGATTTTCACATACTGTGGCACGAACCTGTTGAAGTAATTAGCGAAGCCTACGAACTGCTGCAACTCCTTCACGTTCTCGGGTGTCTTCCACGTACGTAGGGCTTCGACTTTCTTGGGGTCGAAGTGAACTCCTTGAGCGCTCACCAAGTGTCCTAGGAACTGGACCTTCTCAAGGGCGAATTCGCTCTTGGACAGTTTAACGTAGAATCGTTCTCGCCGAAGAATTTCGAAGACGCGTCGCAGGTGTTCGACGTGCTGCTCCATGTCGCGCGAATAGATGAGTATGTCGTCCAGGTATACCACCACGCACTCGTCCAAAAGTGGTCGTAGAATGTGGTTCATTGCGGCTTGGAACGTTGTCGGTGCGTTGGTGAGTCAGAATGGCATTACCAAATACTCGTAGGATCCATATCGACTTCGGAAAGCAGTTTTGTGGATAGAGTTGTCCGCCATCCATATCTGCCAGTATCCGGACCGCAGATCTAGTTTGGAAAATACCGTAGCTCCCCGAAGCTGGTCAAGCAGGTCATCGATTTGCGGTATCTGATATTTATTCTTAATGGTCTGCTTGTTAAGAGCTCCGTAGTCGATGCACATGCGCAGGCTTCCGTCCGGTTTCGGTGTGAAGAGTACTGGGGCACCGTACGGCGAAGTGGATGGTCGGATGAGTCCTTTGGCTAGGAGATACTCGATCTGTTTTTTCATGTCGGTCAGCTCTGTAGGGCTGAGCCGATATGGTGCTCGGAAGGTCGGCTTCGAACCCGGTTCCTCCACGATCTCGTGTTGATGCGTTCGATATGGCGGTAGCTCGTTCGGAAGATCGTCCGGAAAAATGTCTTGGAACTCCTTCAATAATTCCTTGATCTTTCTTGGAGGTTCCAAGGTTTTTTCCCTGTCGTTCTCCGCCTCTGTTGCTATTGCCAGAAACCCGGTGTCGGTTCTCTTCACGTCCTTCTCAAATCGTGCGAGTGTCTCCACTGGGATATCTCCTGTATCGTCCCAGTTGGGTAGCTGTACTCTCCGTCCATCGTTGTAGATGCTTGCGGTGCGGTTCACCCAGTTGATCTCGGGGTTGAATCTTTTTAGGAAGTCTCGCCCGAAGATCAAGTCAAGCCCTTTGATGTTGGTGATGGGGAGTGCAGGTCTCCAGCGCAGTTGTCCAATTTGTAGGTGTAGCACTCCTTTGCCGTGTACTGGTAACTTGCTGCCGTCCACCATCGTTGCAGAGAATACTGAAGGCTTATACTCTTCCCGAAGTCGGTCGATTACTGCCTTGTCACAGACGGTGTGTGATGCTCCGCTGTCCATGAGTGCTTGGAGGCGTCGTCCTTTGCAGATGACCTCGAGCACGAGGGGCAGGCGTTGCTCGGAGTACCCAAAAATGGTTTCATTGATTGGGTCCTAGGGTACATCCCAATATTCCGTACACACCTTTGTGTTGCTATCTACTCCTGAGCTGGCAGCTGGCCGAGGCTGCTTGGAGAACGGCTCTTCTCCAGGGCCCGGAGTTTCCTTGACGACTGTGCGCGTCACAGAGGCCGAAGAACTGGATGCATCCGGAGGAGGAGTTCGGGGTTTGTGCAGCTTCTTATAGACCCCCAGCTTCCTCTTGAGCTGCTTCAGCTCCACCGACGTCTTCCCTGGGGAACGGGTAGTCGTTGTGGGCTAGTGTCGGGAGAGGACATTGACTCCGTGGAAAGGTCGGCTTCTTTCCACACTCCTTAATTTTTTCCCCAAGTTGTCCGATACCTGTATAATCTCCACAGCTGTCTGCTTCTTTTGGAGTCCCTCCCGAAATTTCTCAAAGGCTCTAGCCTCTCGAAAATAGTAAGTTTCCATTAAAGCACCTTTATAAGATAACTTTAACGAATTCTTTTAATTTCTTGGGTCTTCAAGGAGTTTCCCCGTCTCCGCAGTCTTTTTTCGCGGAGTCGTATTTTTCCTCGGCGATTTTCTCTGACGAAGACTGGTCGTGGGGTGGAGATTTTCCCCCATCATTTCCTCCTTCTCGCGTTGAATCAGCTTTGTCGAAGTTGATTTTCCCGGAATCCCGCGGCCGCTTCCGGATCTTTTTATTTTTGCCAGCTAGATCCGCAATCACTGGCGACTCCCGTTTTTTGTCTTCTGATTGGCCGAAGGATTTCCGCCGTTGTTGCGTGCCCGATACTCTGCGCGTGCGGTTTTCATTTTGTTGCAGTCGAAGATTCGATGACCCGGCACCCCGAAAAATCACACGTGTAGTTGGTGTTTTTTTACGTGGCCGCCCCTCGAACCTGTCGACTTCCATCGGGTCAGCGAACGTGGGGTGGGCCGAGCGGTTGCCCTGTCGCGTACTGCTGACGTGCGTCCATCGTGTCCCGGTGTTGACCATGTCGAAGCGCTCCGCTGCCGAAACGACGTCACTGTAGCTCTCGTAGTTTGACGCTGCCACTTGTCGTTTGACTTCGGTCTTCAGCCCGGCGAGGTACGACTGTACTTTTTCCCCTTCGGTCAGGTCGGGAATGCGGTTATAAAATTCCTCCATGTGCTGCGTGTACTGCGCTAAACTCCCGAACTGTCGGTGTCGATGAATTTTTTCCCGGGCACGGAAACTCGAATTTATCGGCTCGAAGCGTTTCAGCAGGTCGGCGCGGAACTGCTGCCACGTGGCTTCACCGTGGATGAAGGTACTGTTGCCGCCAATCCACTCGAGTGCCGGCCCTCGCATCAGTGTCGACTCCTGTCGTATACGTTGACCGTCCCAGACTGGCGAGCTCCATCCGACGGCTGCGAAGTAGATCTCCATGCCGGCGATCCATCTGCGGGCGTCGGAGTTTCGATCGCTCAGATCGAACGGCTCAGGTGGGCACGGTTTCGGAGCCTTGAGAAACTGCTGCGACTGCTGCGTCGTCGCCGTTGTCGAGTCGTGCTGTGCTCCGGCGAGTCGAGTTACTCGCTCGAACTCGTTTCGCCAAGCTTCGCGATCCGCTCGCATCTCCTCCTGAAGGGCTGCGATGCACGCGAAGAGCTGCTGGGTAACCTCGGCGTTGTCGAAGGTTGCCATCCTATTCAAAACACGCGCAGGGGGGGGGGGGGGGGGGTGATTCGAAAAAACGCGGAGCTGGTGCTTACCAGAATCGGCGTCGAATTGGTCGCCCCCGGCTGGTTTTCGAGGCAGGTTTTCCCGCTGCTGCTGCTTTGTTGAGCGCGGCCGAGTGAGAAAAGCTCTGATTATCAAGTGTCACAGGATTGAATGACTCGAGAAAATATTGCACTATCGATCAGTACAAGGCGCTTGTATACTTCCAGAGTACATCAGGTAACCAGGTTTATCTTATCCTAAGGGAATATTCCCTTCTAGAAAATAGAATCACCCTGCGTATAGCCACGCGAGGCTATTGGCTTTAAGGGATTACAGCAGGATTACGCTAGATATAGCGCCCAGTACATCCCAAGCCTGGTCGGTGATATAAATATAATAGCAGGATAACCCAAAGGTTAAACCAAATGAGATGAGATAAAAAGAGAAATGAAAAGAGGAAGGAAGTAGAAAAAGGCCAAGTGGTGTAACGGGGTCGTACTCTCGCAATATCCATAAGATCTTTGAGGTCTTGCGAAAGGAGGAGCTGTACACTAAGCATTCAAAGTGCGAGTTCTTCCTTCGAGTGGTTGAGTTACTAAGCCATATGGTATCCGGCAGTGGCATTAGAACTGATCCGAAGAAGATGGCTTCAGTGAAGTAGTGGACAACTCCTATCTCGGTTAAGGAACTGCAATGCTTTCTCGAGTTTGTGAACTACTACCGCCGATTCGTCCAAGGTTAGACTTCCATCGCGACTTCCTAAGGGTGTCGAATTCCATTGGGGTCCAGCGCAGCAGCAGACGTTCAAGAAGATGAAGCAATCTCTTACGTCTTCACCAACTCTCTCATACCCCGATCTAACTCGCCCATACGTAGTAGTGACCGACGCATCAGACCAGGCCATCCGAGCAGTACTTCTTCAGGACTAGGGCCGCGGGTTGCGAACAATCGCATATGAATCGCGCAAGCTGTGGGGAGCGGAGCTGAACTATCCGATTCATGACAAGGAAGCGCTAGCAATCGTCCACGCGTACAAGGTATGGAGGTGCTACCTAGAGGGGGCAGATAGTGTCGTACGCATGGAACATTGCTCACTATTGTTCCTTTAATCCCAGCCGCAGCTGAGTCGCTGCCATGCTAGATGGATGGATTTCATGGAGGGGATTTTCCACTACAGGATAGGGTGCAAGCTAGGCATGCGCAACCCAGCAGATCCGCTCAATCACCCTAGTTGTCAGGTCGCTAGTCTTACAGTCACTGCTGGCCATCCCCGTCTTACAACACTCTTCGAGCAGGGATACACAGTAGATCCACACTTCATGCCATAGCCGCCCACAGGAGCAGAGGTGCAGGATATTGTCTATTTACGGAAGGGTACCTCACGGATTTGGGTTCCCATGTACCGCCCTTCGCCAACTCCTACTCTCAGAGGCGCACGATGTAGTTCGTGCAGGTCATTTCAGGAAGATAAGACAGAAAAGATGCTTAGTTGCACCAGGGCTCGTAGGCAACATAGCGGATTACATTCACGCTTGTGTGACACTTGTCAGCGCACCAAGTCCTCTCGCCAGCGTAAAGCCGAACTTCTCCAGCCTATTCCACTACCCGACCGTCCTTGGCAGGTAGTTATGATGGATTTTATCATGGCCATATTGCCGACAGTTAGGGGTCACGGTGCCATCTTTGTCATAGTTGATACATTCAGTTCTCTAGAGCAGCACACTTCATCCCCACGCATGGCATGGTCACAACAGAGGAAGTCGTGTCGGTGTTTGTAGACAACGTAGTCCGACTGCACGTAGTTCCAGATTCCATCATCTCAGACCGCGATCCTCGTTTCACCTCTAAGTTTTGGAAGCTGATCTTCGCTCTCTTTGGGACTCGCTTAGCTATGTCATCGGCTTACCACCCAGAGACAGATAGGCTGGCAGAGCATGTCAACCACACCTTGGAGCAGATCCTTCGCAGCATCACCATGCACGATGAAGCAGCTTGGGACAAGAAGCTGAGCATGGCTGAGTTTGCCTACAACATCATGCATCACGCGTCTATAGGCATGTTATCATTCTTTGCACTGTACGGTCAGCATTCTCAAGTCCCCACTCGTGCCGATCTCCCACCCACCGTTCCACGTGCTGATAACTTCCATGAGCATCTTACATTGATTCATGATCACGTTAGAAAGCGCCTTGAGCCCGCGAATGCATGCATGGCACGCACCACCAACCGTTGTCATCGAGAAATGTCATTTTCCATCGTAGATCGAGTGCTTCTCGATAGCCGGAACCTTCGTCTCCCGCAGGATAGTAAGCTCCGCCCTCGTTTCATGGGTCCATTCGTTATGTTTGTCTTCGCCTTCCTGCACAGTTTTGCATGCACCTCGTCCTTCGTCCTTACACCCATCCCAACACCACCTTCTCGGGTCATGATCGCACTCCACTGCCGGTAGCTGTTGAAACCGACGAGCCCGACTACCAGATCCAGCGCATCCTCCGTCACCGTCGCCATCTTTAGGGGGGTGTTTCCTTCCTCAATTTCTTGGTCCATGGGCGTGGTTACGACGCTGCCGATGACAGATGGGTTCCTTCGGCTTTGCTGTCTCCTGACAACTCATGCCTCCAAGCGTATCTTCAGGCTGTAGGCACCATGGACGTCGCCTCCTTGGGAGGGGGGTAGTGTTACAGGGTAGTTTACTGTTCACAAGGTATCTTGACAGCACTGTTCATCCTATCCCAACCTGATCTCTTCACCATCCAACTCAGATTTTCAACTCTCACAGAGCACTCTAGTTCTGCCACGTATTCCCATTTTGTCCCACAACTGATTTTCCCATGATTGTTCTTGCATGCTATATAAGCCTTGCTTGTATTTGCTAATATCTTCAATCATTTACCCAGTTACTTCTTCGCATACTTCGCCAACAACTTCTTCGCCAAAGTCTTCTACCGCGCTTTTTCCTCGATTTAACCAACCCCGCTATTCTCTAGCAGATTTCGGCCAAGCGGCCTAACATAAGAATAAGAAAGACATAGGCCGAGTTGGTTAAATCGAGGAAAATATGTGGTGAAAGACTTTGTCCTCAATCCGCTAGAGAATACCCCAGTTGGTTAGGTCAAGGAAAAAAATATGGCAGAAGACTTTGGCGAAGAAGCTGTTGGCAAAGTATGCGAAGAAGTAACTGAGTAAATAATTGATGATATTAGTGAATACAAGCAAGGTTTATATAGCATGCAAGAACAGTTGTGGGAAAATGGTTCGTGGGACAGAATGGGATTATGTGGCAAAACTAGAGAGCCACCTCGTAGTTGGAAATATGAGATGGATTGTGAAGATATAAGGTTGGGATGGGATGAACAGTGTTGTTAGGGTAAATACCCTATGAACAGAAAACTTGTCATAGGTCCAAGATTTAGCGGAAGCTTGAATGATACTAATCAAGAATTGAATCAAGAATTGAATGTCTACAAGCAAAGACACAATCCTATTTATACCTACGAGAACTCTAGGGAAGGGTAAATATGAGCTTCTAAGAGAGTTTTACAAATGAGTGGAGTCGTCCGTAGGAACACCACCTAGAAGCACGGTAGAGATTCTAGAGATACGGTGATGGTGACGGAACACTCCACGCAATAGAAAACGTGTCATGCAAGGAAAGTCCGGAACACTCTAACACATACGATATAAAGTACAGTATATCAATGTGTAGGAAAGAGTGTAGGGATTTACAAGAAAGAAAAAACACACAATAAACAACAAATATCAAATAGAAGTGATCAAATATTCGGCAAGCCTCACCCTCTCACAAAACTACACCGTAACACTACCCCCCTTCCCTAGGAGGCAACGTTCACGGCGCCTGCAGCCTAAAGATACACCAAGAGGCATGAGTCGTCAGGAGACAGCGAAGCCAAAGGAATCCAGATGTCGTTGCCAGCGTCGTAACCATGCCAACGGACCAATAATTTGATGAAGGAAATACCCCCTTGAAGACAGCGATAGTGACAGAGGATGCACTGGATCTGGTAGTCATGCTCGTCGGTATCAGCGGCTAAGGGCAGTGGAGTGCGATCACAACCCGAGAAGGCGGTTTTGGGATGGGTGTAAGGATGAAGGAGTGATACATGAAAGGTGGGATGCATACAAAATTGTGCAGGAAGGCGAAGGTAACATGCAACTGGACCTATGACACGCTCAAAGACGAATGGACCAATGAAACAAGGGCGGAGCTTGCTATCCTGCGGGAGACGAAGGTTCCGGCTATCGAGAAGCGCTCGATCTCCGACAGCAAATGTCACGTCTTGACGGCTATGGTTGGTGGCGCATGCCATGCATGCATTAGCAAGCTCAAAGTGCTTCCTTATGTGATCATCAATGGTGGTGAGATGAGGGTGGAAGTTTTCAGCACGTGGGACTGTGGGTGTGATGTCGACACGAGTGGGGGCATTGGGTTGTTGACTGTAAAGTGCTAAGTACAGTGACATGCTTGTGGATGAGTAATGCATGTTGTTGTAGGCGAAGCGGTCATGCTCAACTTCTTGCTTCCGCGTCCACCGCCGGCGGAGCCGAATGAGCACCCGAGCCTGGAAAAGAGCTTCGATGCATTCAACAGTCCCAGTAAATTCCGGACCTCGACAATTTTGCGCTTGCACACCGCGCCTCGGACCAAACCTACCAGCAGCAACAGACTTGGGAAGAACACTCCAACCCTCGCCGGGTGCTTTGAACATCCCATTCCCTTGGGGGCTTTTTCGTCGCCACTTCCTCAGCCGATGTGCGGTGCTCCTTTGCGGCTTCTGGTGTGCAGAGCTCTTGAGCCGGTCCTGCAGAAGCCATGGTTGGGAGAATAACAGAACCTGCAATTGCGCTATCGGACCATGAGAGTAGAGGAGGAGCCTTCCCTAGCTTGGCTAAACAGTTTGAGCATTTTCATGGGGTGAAGAACAAGGTACGAGGCTCCATCCGTGTGCCTTTTCCTAGGTCGGAAGTCTTGGGGCTTTGAGGGGCATTCTAAATGCAGTCTACAATGGTAGTGCCTGAAGTAGCATGGCCACTCTAGCTAGCTATAGAGAAGCTTACACCGGCAAGATTAGTGAAGGCTCTGCATATGGTATATTTGTAGGATATGTTGAGTTTTTCCCTTCATTCTTCCCTAAATGTGTGGATAAGCTGCTTGTTAAAACTTGAGTTACTGGCTAAGCTAACGTTTTCGCGTGCGCTGGACGAATTAGGAGCACCATACCAAACCGCATCGCATGGCGCATCCTCATTTCACAACCAACTCCACCTAGCTGGTTTCTGGTCACCATCGGCGAGCCTCGCAAATGGAGCCAAATAACAGAATAAACCACAACAACCATACAGCTCTGCAACCTCGCGATACCCTGCGATGCTCTTTCAGCATCGCATGGAACGTGCTCCTGGCAATACATTCACGATTCTCGGGATTGCTGAGCTGATTGATCCGAATCCGAATGAACCTAGAGAACTGCCACAAACGGCTGCATCGTGCATGATGATTCTGTGAAGGATCTGCTTTAAGGTCTAGTTGACATGCTGTGTCTGCCCATCTGTCTTTGGGTGGTAAGCTGATGACATGGCTAAGCGAGTCCCAAAGAGAGCGAAGATCTGCTTCCAAAACTTAGAGGTGAAACAAGGATCGCGGTGGAATCGGGAACTCCATGCAGTTGGACTACGTTATCTACGAACAACGTCGCGGCTTCCTCTGCTGTGACCTTGCCATGCATGGGGATGAAGAGCGCTGCTCGAGAGAACTTACCTACTAAGACGAAGATGGCATCGTGACCTCAAACTGTCTGTGGTAAGGCCATAATGAAATCCATCGAAACTACCTGCCAAGGACGGTCGGGCAGTGGAATCGGCTGGAGAAGTCCAGCTTTACGCTGGCGAGAGGACTTGGTGTGCTGACAAGTATCACATGAGTGAATGTAATCCTCTATGTTGCATGCGAGCCGAGGCCATAAGTACGTGCGACTAAGCGTCTTCACTGTCATAACGGCCCCGAAATGACTTGCACTAACTATTTCGTGCGCCTCTAAGAGTAAGAGTTGGCGAAGAGGACGGTAGGCGGGAACCCAAATCCGTGAGGTACCCTTTCGAATGCAGACAATACCCTGCACCTCTGCTCCTGTGGGTGGCTGTGGCATGAATTCAGGATCTACTGTGTATCCGTGCTCGAAGAGTGTTGTGAGAAGTGGATGGCCAGTAGTGACTGTAAGACAAGCAACCTGACAACTAGGGCGAGTGAGCGGATCTGCTGGGTTGTGCACGACGGGCTTGTACCCTATCTTGTGGTGGAAAATCCCCTCCATGAACTCCATCCATCTAGCCTGGCGGGGACTCGGTTGCGGCTGGGACTTAAACAAACCTTAGCGTGCAATGGTCCGTGCTTATGACACTATCTGCCCCCTCTAGGTAGCATCCCTACTGTATATCCTGTGTGCTTGGATGATTGCTAGTGCTTCCTTGTCATGAATCGGATAGTTCAGCTGTGCTCCCCTCAGCTTGCGCGACTCGTACTCGATCGGCTGCAATCCACGGCCCTGGTCCTGAAGAAGTACTGCTCCAATGGCTTGATCTGATGCGTCGGTCACTAGTACATTTGGGCGAGTTAGATCCGGGTATAAGAGAGTTAGTCAAGACGTGCTTCATCTGCTCAAATACCTGGTGCTACGCTGGACCCCAATAGAACTCGATGCCCTTACGAAGTAGGTCAGTGAGTGGACTAGAGATGGATGCATAACCCTGAACCAATCGGCGCTAGTAGTTTGCGAACTGGAGAAAGATCTACTGTCCCTTAACTAATGTACGAGCTGTCCACTGCTGCACTGAAGTGATCTTCTTCTGATCGGTTCTAGCGCCAACAGCGGATACGATATGGCCTAGAAACTCGACCTTTGGAAGGAAGAACTCGCAATTCGACTGCTTAGCAAACAGCTGCTCCTTTCGCAAGACCTCGAAGATATCTGCACATGCTCTACGTGCTCCTCTGGCATGCTAGAGTAGACTAGGGTATTGTCTAACTAGAATACGATGAAGGACATGGTGAACTCTGCTATCGCGCTATTCATAAGCATCTAAAATGTTGCTGGGGCATTGGTCAATCCGAATGGCAAGACCTTGAACTCGTACAACCCCTGCTTTGTACGGAACGCTGTCTTATCCTGATCCTTAAGAACTACCCGAATCTGGTGATATCCTCAACGGAGATCGATCCTGGAGAAAATTCTAGCGCCCTGCACCGCATCTAGAAGATCCTCTTCCCTCGGCACTGGGAACCTTTTCTTGACGGTGGCGACGTTCAATGCTCTATAATCGATGCACATCCTTAACCCCCCGTCCTTTTTCGGTGCAGATAGGATTGGTGCTGCCCAAGGAGATCTAGATGGTTGGATAAAACCCTACGCTAGAAAATGCTTAACCTGCTTCATCATCTCCCCTGTCTCAGCTCGACTCAACCTCCACTGCGGCTTTGCTACTGGTCTGCTCCCCAGCTCCAACTCTATTCGATGGTCTACTGCTCAACTAAGAGGTAACCCTGGGGGCAACTCGTCGGGGAAAACGTCTACAAACCCCACTAAGAGTACACTCACATCAGCGGGAAGATTCATCTTCTCTCCAACTACTGCACTCCCTCCTTTCTGCTCCTCAGCTTCAACCTCCTCAAAGAAGACCGCGAAGATCCGTGCCGCTCGCTTCACCAACTGCCGCACACGAATAGCGTTGATGACAGCTGCAGCGGATGTGGCCGCGTCGCTCCACTTTGGCAGCTCCCGAAACTCCCCATTCACCTTGATGCGGCATATGCCGTGAGCCCAAACGAACTGAGTCGTTCCCATTTGTAACCAATCTCTACCGAAGATGAAGTCGTAACCGTCGAGCATCACAGAATCGAAATCGCGTCTAACTGTAATCGGTCCTAGCACTGCTCGCAACTTGCTGATAACTGGATCAATATTGAGAGGTGTCCCATCTACCATGCGAGC